AAAGAAAAGCAAGTTCGAGCCTTAAAAGATGTACATTGCTATGACTGGAAAACACTTGTAGAGAAGGGGGAGCTTGACACTCTGAAAGCCCCCGAGTTGGACAAATACATTGAGCATAATAAACTTAGCAATAACGGAAAGAAAATCGACAAAATCAAGCGAATCAATCTACATTTCCTTCAAGCGTCAGTGTAACAGTGTTGGTGAGGACAGTGATGAGAGTGACAGTGACAATGACCTTGTTTTGTGTGATGAAAGTGAAAGCAAAAGTGAATCAGATGATGACAGTCATACTGTAACAATACAAGAAGGCACATCAACAAGAAGTGGCCGCAGGGTAGGACAGTGGTCCACAAGATATGCTGATTTCGTTCAGTGAACAGGAACTCCTTATAGAGGTATAGATTGAAGGGGGTTGGGGGTGGGTCACCTCTTATATAAAGTTATATGGGGGTGGGTCAAGAATTAACTAATGGGCTTAAAGGGGTGGGTCACGTTTTTTCTTTCATGCTAAAACAAAAAAAAATCCCCCCACCCCCCCACATAAATAATGACCGGTCCCTTAAGAAAATAAATCTTATTCCACTGACCTCCCGAAATAGGCTTCCCTGAGTTCTTTCTTTCAAAAATAAGCAACTAATCTTTATTTTCTAGTCAAGAAGACCTCATTTCTATTCTCCTATGCAAATGAGCGCTTAGCCTGTTCCAGGCTCCAAGATAGTCGGGTCTGCTAAATTGAGAAAAGGCACGAACGCGAAAAAAAAAGGGGAGGAAACTTTTCACGTACCTTTCACTTTCACGTACCTTTCACTTTCGCGTCTTCCCCACTATCTGAGAGCTTGGAACAGGCTAATAAGCGCCTTAAAATCAAAGCAAATTTCTGGTTAATCACAGAACATCCCGTGCGAGCAACAAAATTTGAGTAAATATGTATGTAGCCAGCGACTAGAACGGAAAGACGCGCCCATGTCGGCACGTCATGATTCAGATCTCAAGGGCATTCTGATTTTCATGAGGCATGAGGCGACAGAGCCCTTCCTACATGTTGCTGGATGCATGGTACATTAATGGACAATAACTCTGTTGTCGAGAACGATCCGATTGGTTGAGACACGAAGCAAGTTTTTACAGCTGATCAGCGATGGAACCAATCTCTACTCTTACCGTACCGGGTGCCACCGTATCCCTGGCCACAAACGGCAAGATCTTGGTAATCCTAAAAACAAGACAATTAAGCTACAAGTTCTTTCTCAGATCTTTGCATAGTTTTGATGACGGAATTATGCGCTAAGACATATAGAAAATTCCTGACTCAAAAGAGCTCGCAACATCTTCGCAATGTAAACAGCGTTGTATGCCGCGTTCTGCAGTTGGCAACTTTCGAAAGGGATTTCCAGTTGTTTGAGAATCTCTTCCATATTGTTTTCTTTTCTAGACTCATAAAACAGAGCAGAATGAATTGATAGAGTGTCGATTGCCTCTTTGACCTCGGCGTCCACTCCTTGCTTTCTAAGGAAATCTTGCACACCCTTTGAAGACATTGAATGTGTAACCAGAAAGTCTACTCTTGAAATATCCTTTTGCAACTTTAACAAACAGTCTTTGAGGATCAAAACTTTTGTACTTTCGTTTGAGGACGTACATTCATCTTGAGTTTGTTGTAGATTGTTATTATTTACCACATGTAAATCTGCCTTTGAACGGTGACAAAAGTGATATGATTCTTCAAATTTCTGACTTTCAAGTGAGAAAACCACACATCCAATTTGCCATATTTGGTTTGGGTCATACTCAGAGATATTCGCGCTAAAAGCTAAAAATGACGGTTGTTTTAATTCCATAACGTCACTAATCCTCTCCAACACGTACACTCCATTGACATGCCTTTGTCGAAAAATGGCACGATTTTTACTGCGAAGTTGTTCAGCGAAAAGGGTGAATTCCTTTAAAGATGTAAAAATTCTCATTATTTGAGGAGTTTTCCTCGATACCATAATTGGAGAAACGTTTGAAAGTTGGTCTGCTAGCTCAATGGCCTTCTCCACTTTTTCCTTCAAAAAGCAATGAGCCTTAAAATCAAGAAAGATTCTGGCACAATGGTCTACACCATAGGCTATCACAAAAATGATGTCTTTCAAATGACGGTTGAGAGAGAATTTGAAGTAGTATTTGATTCGCTCATAGTACTGTCTACCCTTATTCTGACAATCGCGAATCCAGGTTTCTCTTACTGTCTCGAAGCTGTACAAGTATCTGGGGCAGTTTTCACACATCTTAGACAATGGTGCAAGTCCTACGTCCTCCTTTAGACGCTTTCGACGACTCATGTTGTCCTAGCAAAGCCTCGGGAATTTACTATCTGAATAAGGAAAATGAGAACAAATCTTTCAGCAAAATAATCTTTGACTCCAAAAGAAACTTATTTGCGTAGCTGTAACTTCTAGAAGTAGTTCCTGATTTAGTATAAGTTTATTACATGCAATAAACAGCGAGAGGCTTACGTGAATTTTTAAAAGACTTAATTTATAGGCGTAACACAATTACTGGCAATCCAGTAGTTAAATTCTGGCTCATAACTAAGGACAGGAAAAAAAACTAGTTTGAATTATTTTACACTGTACTCACAACCTGTATTTGCAAAGAGCCAACAATTAATTTTGGAAATTAGCGCAGCCTACAGATATGTTAGCTGACTGATCGGCATGTTGCGCGCGCAACACATGATACCAGGGGCAACGGTCAAAGTCTGTTCCGTGCGAAGGTGTACTTGTCTTTTTAATTGTCATAACAATGTAAAATAATACAATTATTAGATTCGTTCTTTGTGATATCCTGACTGATTAACCTCTCGGTAAATGAACACCTCTATTAAGCGGTCACCTACTGGCTATTTCGTTCACGAGAGTCACCGCTAGAAGGACTGTATTCAAACCTTATCTGCCTTAAACCGAGCAAGGAATTAACGGGAAAGATAAAAAAATGTAGATACATCATAAATGCAATTAAATCTTTGTTTTTAAAGGCGCAAAACTATATCACCGCGTTTGTCATGGTTGGTAAAGTGCATGTAACCAGTTGCATGTGCGGTTCAAAGTACGAGCCAAATGGAAAAAGGCGTCTGCGTCATCAATTCTTGACTGTTCAACCATGTTTCAAGATGCTAATATGGCGAACTATTCAGCAGTTATTCCTTTTTTTAAAAACAGTTTTAAGTTTCTGAAGTTTTAACGAAAGAAAACGGTTGAAGATTGCTCAGAATAAACGATAAACAGACTAAGTTTTCTCCTGTTGCGCACTCATCAGAGATTCAATTAGTGGAATGAAACTCTGCTATTCTGCTCTGGCTTGAACTTTAAAAAATCGATTTAACAATATATTGGCCTTTGTCTAGACATCCCCACAAAGAGAACTCTTGATATATTTGTAATTGTTTTTGTTTGTTTATTCTACCAAAGCGCATTTTGAGAACAAGTGAGCTCGTCGACACGAGTTGGTTCTTTACGGGTAAAAGTTTATGATTATAGTTCAGCGGTTGCTCGGTCAAGTAGAACGGTTATTACACTAAGTAATGTGTGCAATTACACTATCAATAATGGCATATTTTTAAATCAACTGAACTATGCATTAACTGTGCATATTTGTACATGGCTTAATATAAAACTCTTCTTACCTGTAAGAACGAAAGGGTTAATTCATTTGCTTTATGGCTTATGACTCAATCTTGTTGTGTACTGTTGTCAACCCAAGCAAACTTATTTGACTTTCAAAGTAATTCCATTGTTTTGTTCAATTGTTGTTACTTAATATCACGATTAGTTTTTTCCTTTGTTTTAGAGCACTTCATAATACATTGAATAAAGGGGTGCCTGTTTGGCAATCTTGTTTCCAAGGCGATCTCTTCCATTTTATGTCACTAAATGACTATAAATGACCCTATAGTCAAGAAGATAAAGGACTTCAGCGAATTGCACAGCTAGGCCGGAAAAATAAACTAAACCAGGTTTTAAGTCAAGAACCGCCGTTAAACGCCCTCATTCAATTGAAGAAATTCTTGCTATATACCAAACTGGTTTTTCTCTTTATAGTCTAGAAATAACTGTATATGAAATAAATTTGTTTTAGCACTGATTGAATTCACGACCTTATCTTTCAGGAGCAAAATAAAGTATAAACAGAAGAACCTCGTGTATAAAAACGAATCCCCGGCACAAGACGAGAAAAATATCTGAAGGGAACAATTTGAATTTACAGTGTGCCCAGGCTTTCGCTTTCGTGTTAATCGTATTTTCGAGTAAATAGTGTGTGTAAAAAAAAGACTCGAAGAAAAAAACCTTCAAAGAACCGGTTTACCAGAAATACATCATTTTTAAACACTGTTTGCTTTGGCCTTGTATTTTTCTCAATATCTTGAACGATCGACACCAAGAGGTCATAATATTATGGCACTTGTCGACACTGAATGTTTTATGATTTATTACGATAATTTCATTGGAATTTTTAACAAATCAACGGCAGCAAAAGGACAAAAAAAATAAAAATATATATTATTTTCTTTGTACATAGACAAAGCGTCCTCTGGTTGTACGGTAACAGACAAAAGATGAAATACTAAAACCTTTAACTAACGAATTAACTTATGCCATCATTCCATCATATGTGAAGTAATCTAAGATCCAAATAGCTTATAACTCAACTATCCCCTCTTCAGGGGATAGGAGATATATAGGTATATTTTTATCCCTTAAAAATTTTTTATCTGTTCGGATTTCCTAGCTGAAAGTCTAGTGATCCGAAAATTATAGGGATCAAAACTTACCATTTCGAAACTTTCAGCCAGAAAAAAGGCTCCCGAAAATCCTGGGTGACCTTTTTAGGGTAAAAATCCCCTAATGGGGCATTATACAATTTTTTAGATGTTCGGAAATCCTAGGAGAGGTAGGCAAGCAAGAAATTTTACAATCCGAAAATTCTAGATCTCAAATCGTCTTCCGAACAGATATTTTCCGAAAATTGACGTTGGGTGCCCCTGCCTCTTGCTCTAGTGCTAGTTTATGCAACTAAGTGCGGTTTTTCTTGCTGGGAAATGTATATTATCCAGATCATGGCAACAAATGTTTATTATGTTGTGTTGGTATACAGCTGTACAGTCGACTTCCGATAACTCGAACCTTATAGGGAAATCGAAAAAAGTTCGAGTTATCAGGCACTCAAAGCAAGAAGCCAGTTTTTACTGTACAGTGAACATTTTAACCACATTTAATTGTAGAAACGTTAAGTGAAATTTAAGCAGCCTACACCTTTGGCTTGAAACATCGGTGGACGTACTTTTTAAGAACTTTGCCGGACATTCAAGATCTGTTAGAACCATTAGAAGATGCAATCTCCCATATGCTAATTCCTGCGATTACTGAGCGCAAGTGTAATCAGCTGGATAGGAATATTCTAGCGCTGCCAGTTCGCCTGGGTGGCCTGGGCCTGGGAAACCCGTCCCTTGAAGCAAGGCGCGAATATGCTTCGTCTGTCAAAGTAACAAAGCCCCTTGTTGAACAAATTGTATCTCAGTCACATCAGTTACCTGAAGATTCCCTCACAAAACTAGCACAACAGGAAGTAAGAAGTGAAAGATCAAAGGAACTCGAACACAGGGCAGAGCGTATTAAGGAGATGGCACCAAGAAAGAC